GGGCGTTGACACCGTTGTGTCAATGTTACAAGTCAGAGATGGGGGGTTATCACGATGTTGGGTCATAAGTTAAGATGGTGTTGGGATAACAGTGAGGGTGTGTTGTGTATTGCTTCTTTGTTGCCCAGTGAGGGTGATGGCAGGGATGGACCTCGAATTTTTTCAATTAATAACACCATTTGACTATAAGAAATAAATATAGGGATATTTGTCACAAAAGCATCATTTATCGGTTTGTTAGTTCATTGTTTTTCATATGTAAGGTCATGTGTTTGGATCTTTTAATGCAAATTTTTTTCAGAAACATAATAAATCTGAAATTAAAAGCTAAAAACTAAGGAAAAAATGACACTAACATGATTCAAACTCGACGCTGGGTGAAAGAAAAGTCTTGTTAACCAAATTTACCAATAGAAACTTGTATCCTCATGGTAGTTTCAAAATATATATAGTGTCACACAACAAATTAATACGGTGACACTTTTCACGACTCTAAATTTTTTTATACTACAACGGACGAACAATACGATGGCACATGCCACTGTATGCTCTACACTGGGTCTATCCATCGGTCCATGGGTGGTGGTGTTCTGGAAGGCCGTCGAAAAGAAATCCAAACCGAAGAGAGGAATGTCGGTTTAGAGGTTTGTGGGTGAGGTATGGTCGGTAAAAGACGAAATAAGTAAAAGACAAAGAAAAGAATGAAATGACGAAAATAATCCTCAACTATCGGAATTATTATAATAGAGTTACAGAGGGGTCACTTTCAAAGGAAAATGAAAACCACATTAAACATTATTGTACTTAGTGAAATTTAGAAACGTTCGTAGTTGAGTGTATAATTGAGGGACCAAAATTGTAACTTTTACTTCTAAAATTTTGATAACCAATCAAGTAACTTCTCAAAGGTTGGGATTTTCATTTTTTTTATTAACCTGGATATCCAATCTGATATACAAGCTGATTAATCCTAAAATAATCATCTGATTTGTGGATATCCCGAAGATTTTTATATCTTAAGGATTATGCCATGTGGATTGCATTGGATACTATACATCACTTAGATACAACCAAACCCAAGGACACTTTGGAAATTTTCATATCTATTTAATATTATTTTATTAAATCATTTATCGTTTTATAACCAGATAAATTTTACTGAATGTTATAAATATTTTACTGTAAATCATATCAACAACTTCCCATCTGTAGATGTCTATAACTATGGTCTTTAATCGTGTATACTTACTCAGTTAAAGATCAAATGCTATTATTACAAGAAAAAAAGACAAAAAAAATATCGGAATGCCACCTAAGAAACGAATATGAACCTTTTGTTGCCAATTTAACTGCCAAAATGTAGATGTAACATGTAGGGTCATCATTTGTCTTGATGATACGTGTTATCTACAATAAAAACTACTTCATATGTTCGAAAATAAAATTCCACCATGAAAAAGACACAATTTTAGAAAAATATGCAAGTAATACACCTTTTAATTAACTACATGATAGTTTTACCTTTTATAACAGAGATATAAATTTTTATGTATCATAATTAAGTGTAGAATGGTAGGGATGGTAATTTTCTCCGACCGGTGGAGAACCCGGCTCACCCGACCCGAACGGGACTAGGGATTCCCAGCTAAAATGGGTCCCGAGACCGGGGATCCCCGATAGACCCAAACCCCGGTTGGGGTCGGGGCCCGGTGGCGTATCCCCCGACCTGCCCCATAAACGCTATATAATTTTATTAATATATGTATATATTTCTAATATTAGGTCTTGACCGAGGATGAGGATCGGGTTTGACCAGAAAATAAAACCGATGACAGGATGTTAATCCTTGTACCTGCCGGGGACCGGGGCCTAGGCCTGTTACTAAAAACCGGGGCCGGGGATTACAAAACTTGTCCCATCCCCGCCCCGTTGCCATGTCTACAGCATGAGAAAATAGACAAAATGAACACTTCTTTTGAGACAAATAAAAATAAAAATGTGGACATTGTTTTAGGATGGAGGAAGTATTATACACACACATACATACATACTTGAGACCATGTGAGACCAGCCTATTTTCATGATACATGTGATATCACAAAAAAAAAACATTGAATCTTCACAACACAACACCGTTAAAGTACAAAAAACATTGTACATTCACAACAAAAACACCGTTACAGTTTGTTTTATTACCTTTGTATGTTTTTGCTATGAAGATTCAGTGTATTTTTATGCCTTCAAAGTTGGTTTTACGATTCTTTCAAAAACATGATAGTCTCATAGATTTATTTATATTTAAATAAATACAATAATTAATTTTAACACCAAGATACGAACAAAAATGAATTTTGTGGTAGATAAATAATTTAATAATAAATATAAAAAATTATTTGGTTGGTGTACAAGAAATGATGGACATAAAACTGGTCTCATTTATTGCCAATACCCACCCCTACAAACGGTTGAGACTACCTCAAAGCCTACATCCTCCTTACCCAATCAGCCCCCCCTGCCCCACCCCCTACCCCACCACCCTGCCCCACCCCACCAGAAACAAACCAATCCTACAAGCCTACAACCATCCATCTTTATTTTAGCTTATCCCAAATCAGATATTAATTGCCGGTCAAAAAAAAAATTGCTTTTGAGGTTTTGGTTGTTTTGTTTGGATTGGTGTAGTATTAACTGATGTATATCTGATAAGTGAGGGTGGTGATTTTTATCTGATTAGTGTTTTAGTATAAGAGACATTTATATTATACTGTTTTGATGACCAGAAATCTTATCCAATATGATAAGTACGGATGTTAGGGGCCGTTTATAAAACACTTATCAGATAAATATCCTTATCGGATGAACATGAAAAGGGTCAAGAATCTTACCGGGTAAGAGCGATGAGGATGATTGAGAGTCTTACCCCGTAAGTGAGGATGACGACTATTACTCAGGTAAGCGCTTACCCAGTTAATTGTCGTATTCGATATGTTTTTTATATTACTAAAATCTTACGCATCAAAATAAATTATAGTGTTGACTCCTATTGATAAACACTTGCCGGGTAAGCATTTGGGTAAATGGCCCCTTAGTACTTACTCGATAAACACTTACGTAGTTTGTGTTGGTAAATGGCTCTCGAGTTTCAAATTCAACTATATATTTTCCCAATTATATCTGGTGTCGGAAAACGTTAAAACCATCATATCTTAGATTATCTTTTGAGCAAGACTAATAAAAACAAACGGTGCCGAAACATTAAAAGCAGCGGCACAAAGACACCCACAAACGCATGAAAAAACCCGAAAGAAGGGTAATTTCCTTTTATACCCTTACAAGTGTAGTATAATTGGAAGGGGATGTTGTTGTTTACTTAGATCTATAAAAGTAATTTCAAGACTCTATTTGAAGCAAAAAAGATGAAGGGGAAGGCATGGTAGCATGTAGCCCCATTGATGTAAAAGCTACCCCTTATACCATACAAGCTTGTCTTAGTATTTATTTCACCCTTTTATGTCTCAACAACAATGAAAATATGCCACTTTTGTTTTGGATGCTTCATTTTATTTGTGTAAAGGCATGGTCAATATTAACTTTAACTTTAATAAAACAAAAAATAAAATCGGTTGAAAGAATTTGAAGTCGGTAAAAATGTGTTCAGATACTTACAGCTAAAGGTGCTTAAAAACTTGATCAACCCAACTTAATGCGAAATAACTTAACCTGAAGCAGCTCGATGTCTAATCGAGTTGTAAAATTTTCAGAATGTAGGTATTGAGTTGATATTAGGTTATTATTATTTGAACTCAACCTAATCTGATGAACCCGATGTCCTTTTATTTCTTGGGTTTAATATGATTGTTGAATTTCTATTAATATATACACTAGTTGTGTACCCGTGCAATGCGGCGGGAGCCGTGACTTTTAACGATTTTGAAGTTTCACTGGTTTTATTAGAGAAGATTTAACGATGATATAAGTTACACTTGGACTTTACATATTAATACAATTTGAATAAATAAGAGTCATGGTTCCAATTACAGTCTATCGATGAAAAAAATTGTATGACAGTTTAAATCAAATATATTTAAAATCCAACATATTTAAAGGACTACACAAATGTGTTTGATTTACACCAAGAACAAAGAATCAAGAGAGCGAGATCGAGAGTTTT